TTGAAAAAAAAAAAGAACTAAAATTGTAGCAAATATAAGTTTTTTTAAAGTCAATACAATTTCATACCAGCTACAACTATCTATATACACAGAAAAACAATGCACTAGACTAGAACATTAATGTCATATATGGACCAGTACAGGTAGCTTCCTTAATTCTAGCACCAGAGACCTCTTTCCTGTTCCAATATGTGTTCCATCCATTCTCACCACTTGTCAAGTCCCAGTTTGATTTAAACAATTCCATTCAAATATTTCCAGCCTTCTGCCAACCTCCAGTTAATATTTACCTCTAACACCCAGCCTTTCTCTATATTTTCTTTCTCCAAATTTCCCTCTGCTGATTTATGTAGACACAGAACTGTGTTCTCCCTCCTCTATGTGCTTCCTGGAACATGTAGAGATACTATCATAATTACCAGTACTGTTACACAGGATGTGCTAGTACACATGAATCATCAGTAGCAAATTAAAAGAGTCTATAATAGCGTACTTAATTGATTTATATATTTAGCTTCCCCATGAACTTGATATAAACATTAAAACTGTTAACTGGAGCATTTGAAATAAAAATTGATAAAAATTTTAACTTTTAAATGAATAAATTGACTACATAAACCTATGTAAATTATTAAATCCGATGAAATTTAAGAAATATGTATTGAAGTATTAAACATATTCTTCAAAGAAATGCTTGTTTTTTTGACAAAAATATCAACATCAAGATGGTAAAAATACAAATATTTTTTTTTTAACAGATTATATAGAATTAGAAATACAGTTAATATATACTGACTCATTTACCTGTTCAGAAAGGGTTTGAAATATACACAGAAACATTAGCAGGATTAAATTATGACCTATAAAATGCAGACTGTTGGAGAAATGTATTTTATGCAGGATGAATATCAATGCTGATAAATACTGTAAAGAACATTTAGACTTTGTGACCAAAAAGTAATAGTATATTTCTTTCAAATGCAAAATAAAGATTAGCTAATGCTTTAAATGTTTTAGCAAAGAGTTTACCGAATAGCCAATAGGCAAAACCTCATAAATCATATTAGCGTTTGTGGGAGTTTCTGCATTTTTCCTACATATTAAAAATACAATTAATGTTAAAGGGATACTCATAGAACTAAAATAACTTTATATTAACCCTTTAAAGAGAAACCATCATGACTTACCTGGCCATCCGCTGCCCGCAGCAATTTCACTAAAGAGGTGTTTGTTACAGACTGCTCCGCTCACACTCCTTATGTGCTCTTTGTTAATTGGTCTTGCTTGGGGACATTTAACCAAGCAGGACAAGCCTCTTCCATGATGTGATGCACTGGCTTCGTTGTCAGCATGCTGACATCTAAACTTTGTGATGTTGCGTCACTCCGTTCCTATACTCCGTAGTCGACACTATTAGCAATGGCTAGGAAGTTACCATAGCAACCACAGCACATAAGCTATGGTTGCTATGGGTGGAGAGCAGAGGAACGTCCTATGAAAGGTCTGCTTTATTATTATTATTATTATTATTATTATTATGTTATTTATATAGCGCCAACAAATTCCGAAGTGCTTTACGGTGAGTGAACGAACAGACATGTAGTTGTAACCAGACAAGTTGGACACACAGGAACAGAGGGGTTGAGGGCCCTGCTCAATGAGCTTACATGCTAGAGGGGGTGGGGTAAAGTGACACAAAAGGTAAGGATAGTATTAGACTAATGACGGTTGCAAGAGAGGAATCAGTCAGGAGCTATTAACAGTTCAATTGATATGCTTTTATCCCTCCGACCCCCCTTCCCAAGTTGCTGAAGGGGTTAAAACCCCTTCAGTGACTTACCTGTATCCAACGACGATGTCCCTCAGCAATGGTTCAGGGTCCGCCCATGCTCCTCCACCGCCGACATCATCCAGCAGGGGAGACCTATCACGCTTGCGCGGCATTAGACCTCGCCATAGGAAAACATTGAAAAATGCTTTTAATGCTTTCCTATGGGGATTTCAGCAACGCTGTAGGTGCTATAAACACAGAAGTGCCCTCTAGTGGCTGTCTAGTAGATAGCCACTTGAGGAGGAGTTAACTCTGCAATGTAAATATTGCAGTTTATAAAACTGCAATATTTACAGTTGCAGGGTTAAAGATAGTGGGAGTTGGCACCCAGACCACTCCAATGGGCAGAAGTAGTCTGGGTGCCTGGAGTGTCCCTTTAATGATTTTTTTGAAGGAGTGGGTGAGCATCTAGCGGAGGAGGGAAGTGAGTTCCACAGGAATGGTGCAGCCCTGAAGAAGTCTTGAAGGCAAGCATCAGAGGTGGGAGTACAGACAGAAGATAGACGTAAGTCTTTAGCAGAGCGTAAGGGCCTAGACAGGACATACTTGTGTATTAGTGAGGATAGATAGGTGGGAGCAGCATTGTGTAGAGATTTGAAAGCAAGAGACAGAATTTTAAATTGGGCCCTATATCTTACAGAAAGCCAATGTAGGGACTGACAGAAGAGTGAGGCGTGGGAGGTGCGGGTGGACAGGAAGATGAGCCTCGCCGCCGCATTCATTATGGACTGTAACGGCACAAGTTGGGAGCACGTAAGACCACTGAGATGCGGATTACAGTAGTCAAGGTGAGAAAGGACAATGGAATGGACCAGCACCTTAGTTCTTTGCTCTTCCGGGCTTACAATTCCTCGGCATAGAGTTTCGGCTGAGGAATTAAGTGTCAGATAGGAAAAAAAAACTATTTTGAAATAGGTTTTTCCTCCCAATCTATACATTTGCTAGCCAAACTGCTAGCACAATGTATAGAATGAATTTGATTATGTTTTACAAGAACGAAAGTACTGTAGAGCATTGCAGGTTCCCTTTAAGGACCAAGGCTCTTTAATCTGGTGCTTTAGTGATGAAGGTCTTTGACACTTTTGCTGAGTGTTCATTCCATCAGAGCTTAACCATTTCTGTTTTAGTGCACCCATACATATTGTGTAATAAATTTGTGAATTTGGTCTCAAACTAATTGGAATACCACTTTGCAATTCATCTGAAAATCTCTAACTGAAAAACGCTATATGGAGAAATCACATAACAAATTAAACGGACAATAAACTTATTGTTTCATGATTCGGAGTTCTGTCTGTGGTGCCAAAAAAAATACAAAAAAGACAGCCACTAAGTGTTGATTTGATTTGCAAATCAAGCAGAAGTGACCAAAAGAGGGGGAAAAAACGAGGAATAGTAAAATATTTATTTATTATATATGTAATAAATTCACTATATAAATGTAATTTATTTTACTGTTTCTCCTCTTTTGATGTCTATTGGCCACTTCCTTTCTCTTGCTCTGTGGACCATCAGTGTATTGCAAAATATATACATAATATTTCTATTTTGCAGTACACTGCCCAATTTTCGTTCCCTTTTGGTTTTTTGAATAGTTTTTTCCAGAAATGATTGTGTAGACTAAATTCATCTAAACCAATAGGTTATATGGACGATATCTGAACTGCCCAAAACATTTTTATTTTTTTTAAGATGAACCAAGCTTTTTTCCCATGCAAAAGTTTTGAAAAATGAAATATGGCTTTATTTCGATAGTGTATATTTATACATAATGCAACATTATATATGAATAAAAAATTTAAGAAATGGGAAAATAAAAACAGTGTTTAATAATTTCTACACTAAATACATACTTTCACGACTACACAATTTCCAAGCAACTAAAGAAAAATCACTCAAAATAGATATATTTATTAGTCCTGAGTTGTAAAATGCTGGTGTTAAAATCATAATAGGATTTCAGTTAAAGTTAAAAAACAAAGATTGCAAGGAGTGAATTATGGTTTTAAAGTAAAAAAATTGTAATATATGGTATGCTTAGATAGCTGTAATTATAGTCACAGAATGCAAAACCATTACTTAAAAGTATATATTTATGGAAAGTAAGTCTCCCAGGGTATGTAACAAAATTTTATTTAACCGTGTCATCACCAATCTTAGTTGAATCTGCTTGTAATAAAAAAAAAAATTCACATATGTTTTATTTTCTTTTTTTGTAAATTCTTTATTTTCTGTTGTGCATGGTATAACGATAGGCTTACTCAGCCACAATAGCATTCGTAAGCAGTAACAGGCGTAACAATCAAAAAATGGTATATGAGTATACGGCACAATTTTTAAAATTTTGTTGAAAGAAAAAGTAGACAGTGGATAGGCATAGTAATTAACATTTGAGCTTTCCTGTCTATGAAGATTACATTAAATTAAATTATACACATGTAATGTATACTAGGCATGTCGTTAGTTTAACATTTGTTTATGCTAATGAGGTTAAGTAATTTAATGCTTATAAAGTATGCTAAGCAGATTACATGTGTATTGTCTATGTGTAGGCAGGTGAAGACTGCATGCTTATAAAACACGAATAGAAGAGAAGGTTGCCCGGCTAACCAGCAAATGAGTATAAGAGTAGCAGGCATCCGGCCATCCGGAAACGCAACCCACGTGTGTACCACAATATTTTACAATCATTATTATATTTTTTAGAGAAATGCCCAGCGCAAAAATAAAAAAAACAAGAAAAAAAAAGAAAATCAGGCATTTAGCATATCTTAAGTGTTCTCTGGTATTGGCAAGTCTCTGTTAGGAAGGCTGCTATATGTTCTGAGCCGCATCCTTTGCAGCAGAGGCTCTAAATATGAACCCCCGCACTATCCTGGGTAGATGTTCCTGTTCAGCCTATGTCCATCGTGGGAAGTAGCTTTAAAGTTGCATATAAGTCCCGCTCGGCGATGTCTTCTAACTTGATTGTGTTTCCAACGTATGTCTGTGAGGCTGACTCCTGTGTAGTGGTAAGCTGTCCACCTCGTGCCTTGAGGGGTGGTTTAGTGACACTCTATTCCAGGGGTCATGAGTTAAGTGAGCTTCTGGTTTGTGGGGGCTGCTCCATGTCCCTGCTCCCTTGTGTGTAAGAGTGGTAGTGTACGCCCGGTTTGCAGAGTTTGTTTACCCACCATTGCCGTTTGTGCTGCTAGTCGGATGTCTGCTTTGAGAGGTTTAAGGGTGTGGAGAGGAAGCCCAAAATGGCATCGTCTGGTTGCCGGATGCAGCCACGAGGCCACCGTTTGGGTCGCTCGTTTATGAGATGTAACCCGGACACATAATGCTATACAGAGGCTCAAGAAGACCCGATCAAGGTCCTTCAGGGGGTAAGTTCTTGGCCGGGTGCCTGATTTCTCCCCCTCTAGTCCCTCCCGGGCGGCCATCTTGAGTGTACCTTAACTGTTTCGTGTTTCTGGGGGACCCGTCACCGGGAAAGCCTGTTTGCTGTCTCAATCAGCTTGATTAGTGGGGACCGGGATAACCCCCACTGGTCCAGAGGGGGTGCAGTTGACCAGCAAACTCTTTGAGGGGGTCTTGTGTCAGAGAGAGCAGCCACCTCTCCCCAGTTCCAGCTTCAGTAGGCCGCACCTGAATTTTCGGTTCCCTGTTCCCGGTGAGGTATTGGTCGATTCAGGAGTGCATCCCCTACATGGGTAGTACACCCCAGTGAGTCCTTGGACTATATAGTCATCGATTGTGCCCAGTTTTCTGCCCGATTTTCGGGAGCTCTAGTCCCCTGATTCTATACAGCTAGGCGGTCAGGCCCCGCCCACCTGACATATGTTTTATTTTTGTGGAGAATATCACAGAGTATTACTGCTACATATTTGTGGTCTGCTACTCTCTTTGAGTAAAATGATACCCCACATCTATGCTTTTATGAGGTTTTATAAAGGCCTGGTATGGTAAAATGACTGACATACCCTACTTTTGACATGTCTCTTAACTTACTTATAGGTATGTTATTTTGTATAATTACTCTATCTGTGCCACCTTACTGAACTGCATCAAACATTGGTGCTATTTATTTATTTATTTACTAAACCTATCCCTATCATTCCTATAACTCTTACACTAACGCTACCCCTAACACTAACCCTACATTTAACCCTACCCACATTACTAACAGAACCTTTCCCTCTGCTGATGTCAATAATGACATAAGCAGAGGATTTTTCCTGCATACACAATACAGAGTGCTCTGTGACTGCTCTATGCTGGGAGGTTGCAAACTAAGGGCACTGGCGTACATACCGCGGTCACAGGGGTCGCATCTGCGACCGGGCCGCTCTGCGACATGGGTATGTACGCCAGTGTGTATGTATGTCTGTCACTGAGTGTGTGTCTGAGTGTGTGTCTGTCAGTAAATGTGTGTAAGATGGTAGTTTTTGGAGCGCCTTTTCAATAAGTTTAGAATCTGACTTGAGTTGATATCTTATACTTCTACTGCTTCAACACTCTAAGTGTGATACTCTTAAAAGACACAATATAAATTGCAAAAAAAAAAAGAAAATAAGAGTGGAGCAATGTGTCATAAGGTGACAGTTTAAGTGATGTCCTTTTAAAATATATACACAAGTGTGAGAAAGTTTAAATAAAACAAAAGTAATACTTAATCTGCAGAAAGTCTCTTCCATACATATATTGCTCAATACATGTAGGAGAAAAATACATAAAAAAACAGATAATAGTGCAGATCGTACTGATTTGGTAATATTATATGTATTCCCAGATAGTATGCCCAACACAATGGGCTAAGGAAATGCACTAAGACAGTGAATTAGCGCTAGTAAAATATCAGTCAAAGATTTATTACAATAAAAAACAAAAACACTTAAATAAATGTGTAAACAAACTGACTCTTACAAAAAGGAGTTGTGAGTAAGGCAAGGCTTCTGCCGTTACTCACTGCCAGGCTTATATAGATAAGGTGCTGGAGAGGCTGTCCTCGGTGGATGTAACTGGAGCTCAAATGCAGGCTTCACAGGGCTGTGTTTCAGAGTGTTTGTGCGAGGTACAGTTGGCTCCGCCCCCTGGCTATGACATCTTCGCGTTTTGCCGGATGCCCGGCTTCCTCAGGACATGAATGCCTAGAGCTAATTCACTGTCTTAGTGTATTTCCTTAGTAAATGTGTGTGTCTGTTAGCTAGTGTGTATGCATCTGTTAGTGAGTGTGTGTGTATGTATGCTTGTCTGTTAGTGAGTGTGTCAGTGAGAGTGTATGTGGGTCTGTCACTATGAGTGTGTGTTTGTATGTGTGTGTATGTATGTGTGTGTGTGTATGTATGTGTATCTCTGTGTGTGTCTGCATGTGTGTGCCTGTATGTGGGTCTGTATGTGTATCTCTTGGTCTGCATGGGTTTCTGTTTGTCTTTATGTGTATCTGAATATTTGTCATTAAAGGACCACTATAGTGCCAGGAAAACAAACTTATTTTCCAGGCGCTATATAGTCCTTAGGTCTCCCCCACCCTTGTGGCTTGCCTCCCACTGGGCTGAAGGGGTTAAAACCCCTTCCCCTTCAGCACTTACCTTTCTCCAGCGCCAGGTTCCCTTGGTGCTGGGGATCTCTCCGCCCCAATCCGCCTCTCAGCTTCAAATGCGCAGGTGAGGTCTTTATCTCAGATAAAGAAATGATGAAGCCTTAGGGGTCAAGCGAAGCTTGATCCCGAAGTCAACATATAAAAGGACTATGTGGGTATAAAGGGTCCTAAACCCTAAATAGTACAAACACGAGAAAGGTTGCCTAAGAGGGTGAAAGAGTGAAGGGCGACCTGCCTTTCCTCTAACACTCCCCCTAGGTATACCCACAGTAGTGAAAATAACTCATAGAGTATGAATAGAGTAAAAATTAAAAACTTATGTTTATTGAATTCTATTTCAAAATCTCTTTAAGGACAAAAATTAATGAAATAGGTGAAACACACAGTGTTGGTGAATTTAAAAAGGAAAGGTTCAATGCAGTCTAGACAGTCTCTTGTATATGTATATGTAACTAACTGCAAGTGATTACTAATAAATTGATTTACACAATAAAATAGGTAATCTCTTGTATATAGAAGTGTAACTACCTGTAAGTTGTTACTAATGAATTGACTTCTACAATAGACACAATAGTCAAGAATATATTTAAGAGATAAAGGTCAAAAGCTAGTAACTGTCAATAAGTTGCACTTAGTTGGATAGTATCTGATAGGAGCTCAAATTGATAAAGCCTCTATATATCCACTAGTGATAGATAGTGATAGACTATGTTCAAATACTCTCTACCTTCCCTGTTAATATGGAACTATATTCAGGTAATCTCTCTCCAATAGTGCTATTATCAATACTAGTATAAATTTAGCTTACATCAAATAAATGCAAAGACGCCTAATAGTTGTAAGTGGCTAAACTTGCTTGTTGCTTATTAATGGCAAAAAGTGCCAATTAGCAAGCAGGTTTATTAGGGTGACTGTAGCTAACATCCGTGTAGAAATGGAATACAGTTATAAGTAATATAATGCCATGAATATTCCTACGAGTTAATGCACACAGTAACCCAACATATAACCTTAAAAGAAAAACCTCAGCATATAACAGACACATCATCAAAGTCTAATCTGTTTGAAATTGCACTTTAGAAATATAGAGAGATAAATAATAATAATAATAATAATAATAATAATATAATAAATAGGCAGGCTAGATATATTGCACTGCCTTAAGTAGTATCAAACCTATGATAGTACCAAATATAAGGTCTTAGGGAAGAGTAGAAAAAATATATATTAGAAAATAAACAAAGATACCCTCCCAAGGTCAAATCCCATTAGAAAAGAGTATTTCTTTATCCTTGAGTAAAAAACAGGGGGTAATGGAGCAATTAAACCCAATCAGTCTATCCAAATAAACACTGCAAAGGCAGCTGATAAACCTATTATCTATTTTTATTTTTTGGATTTTATGTATGGTGTTTTATGAGCTTGTACACTTTTAGGTGCTGCTACACTTTTATTATCTTTATATTTTATATTAGCATTTTCAGCGCCTTTATTGTTTGTTTGTTTTTTTTGACTTTGATAGGTGCCAATAATTTAATGTATTTTACTGTAGATTGTGCATTTTTTCAGAAGCAATTCCCACTGGAGTGAAAGTTGTCATTTTTAAATTACATCAGGAATTTTTACTCAAATTAAACATACCTGAAAAGTAATCTTAAAAGTACTCAAAATGCTACAGATATATTCAGCAATAATAGTCACCATACCACTTTGTAAATGCTGCAGAAAAACACATCTTCCATCACCAATTATTGCTTGAGTTCATTGAGCACTCAGAAATGTAGATATGGTTCAATTTTAGTTTTATTTAAATGTTTTAAACATTAGAACTATTTTTCTATTTCATAGCGTATGAGCAGACATGCAGTTAAATACTTTCTAATGCAATCAAAACAGATTGTGATAAGCATAATATTATTCTGAATCTATGTTTTTTTAATCACATACAAGTTGATAGCTCTACCCACGCCCTTGATAATAACTAATTAGGATAAGGTGAATTATTTTCTGCTCTCAAGTTAATGATAAAAATCAACTCTTATGATAATGTAAATGAGCCATTGTCTATAATTACATAACAAAGGTATTTTATCTGTATAGTGCGCAATTGACTCTTATGATGAAAAAAACTCAAGATAAATAATTAAACATCATTTTAATAAAATGAATCTCAATGGCACAATGTATATAGCTGTAAACTCATTTAGGTACATTTTAAGTTCTATATGTTTAAGGAAATCTTTTTAAGTAAAGCAAGTGGTATTTGTAATGTTTTGCGAAAAGATTCAATTTGTGATATTTTTTCTTGTACTGTTTTAATCTTGACAGATGGATGAATGTGGCAAATAAAGGTCCTATTGAACAAATGAGTGCTATATGCCAATATTAGTCATCAACTTAATGTACTGTGCCACTAATTTCATTATAATTAAAACACATTTTAAAAACAACAGGAAATGAGAACTATGCGACATTAGTTAATACATTTTGGCTTAATTAGGAATAAATAGACTTGTTGCCCTTAAATATAAAAAGTAACATTTTAGTGACCACATTTTATTTAACTCCTTTACTACCAAATTATTAAAAAATATATATCTATAAAAAAAACACTATTTGTATGCAATGATTATTAGCTATCATATCATGCAACTATTGTTATATGTAAAAGTATAAAATTGTGTTCAGTCTTTACTGGAAGTTATGAAACTTGTACAATAGTCACATACCATAGGTGTAGCATGTGACCCAACTCTTGTTTTATTCTTTATTTAAGTAATTTCACAGGGTAAAAAAGTGACAGTAAAACAAAATGAAATGTTTAAATCACATTCTTTTGAT